CACACCGCAGGGGAGCAGCAGACTCTCCTTCGGCCGTCCATGTCCCCTCAGCCTATCCTCAGCCATGCAGTCCACCAAGCGGGGCGGGAGTGGGGGGTGGGTAGGGGCTCCAGCTGGCAGGACAGGGTGTAGCTGAAAGGCAGAGTGGCTGCTGGTGTCCACCAGGAGCCTCACCTCAGCCTTCTCTGCCAGGGTCCTGGTGTCCCAGCTCTCACAGAGCAATGGGGACTGGCTTTGCCCAGGGAGCTAAGGTCACAGGCTGTGTGAAACTGGGCGCCATAGAGAGGATCCCCCCGCCCCTTCGGAGTCCTCCCCAGGTCTCACCTCTCATTCTCACTGAGCTGCTCCACGGCCTGAAACAAAGCCCAAAACTGGTCCTGGGGCTGAATATGGAATTTATCTGCAGCCTCCCGGAGGAGCTGAATTTCACTCAAGACTCTGAATTCCTAGAGTGGGAGGAACAAGCAGGAAGTAGGACGCTGACAGGAGCTGGAGTGAGGAGGCTGAAGGGGCCTTCTGGAGAATTCTCAGAGAGGGGAGGGGACCCTTTTCTGAGACCTTTTTTCCGAGGCTCTCCCTTTGTCTCTACAGTACTATCTTGGCCTCAGCTTATCATCAGAGTTGACTTCAAACACCCCATCCTCCAGGAAGTTGGCCTTGATTCCCGTCCCATTTGTACCCATGCAGGGAGTTGAACCTTCTCTGTATAGAAAACTCTCAAATACATCTAAGCTGCAAGGAGGGGTCCTAGAGAGTCCTGTCCAGGGCTTCCTGATTTCCACTGTCCACCCTCTCACAGTGAGGCCCACAGTGGCTCACCTTCACCTTCTTCTGGAGGTTAATGACATTCCCCTGCAAGGCAGATGGCCGCTGCATCAGGAAGACCCCAGCCCACACCTAGACCCCACCCCTTTCTCCCTGAGGGTCATGGACACAGACCCAGACATGGACCTGGGTCAGACTCTGGAGATGAAGGGTAGAGTGCTGAGGCTCAGGGACCTCTAGACCCCCACTCCCTGAGGACCAGGGACCCATCCCCAAGGGTTTGATGACACACTGACACTTCAGGCAGGAAGGCAGTGACAGCTTCCCACCTGAGATGTTCCCTGACTTTGAGGGACCTGACCTCGTTAGTCTCCCAAGTCACCTCTCAGAGGTTTTCTTTTTTTTTTTTTTTTTTTTTGAGAGGATTTCACTATAGGGCATGGG